TGGTAAACACCTTCCAGCAAATATCCTCAAAAATGTGTTTAGCGTGGATGCCATGCACCCTTTGTCTGTTTTGGGACCACAGAACAATTTTTAATGTTCTCTTTTGCTTACATTTGATGCCTATAAATAGGCTTTTCAAAAAGGCACGTTTATCTAACACGCTACCTCTGTGAGAGGGAAGAGCATATTTGGGCAAGCCTAGTTGAAGGATTAACCTTTTTAGTACAGCTTCTGTGCATTGGCTCTGGCTTCCCAGTTTTAATCTATCATTTTGTTTAGAAGAGCAGGAGATGGTTTGACTTGCCTTGCACTTGGTGTGCACTTTGATATCTCTGCTTGATGCTCGTGCTCGGAGAAACAGTGGAATTGGAAATGCAGCATCACCGTGTTGGGGTGGGGAGGGAGAAGGCTCTGGGCAGTAAAATTTTTCAGACTTATAGAGCCTTATAAACTGGTTTCTAACAGCAATAACTGTTTATGCAAAGCTGTAAGGAAAACTGCTCCCTCCATTTCATAGGTGCTTTTTCTTCTGTGCCTGGCCTTCAGTGGACCCTTGTTTAGGTCAAGAGCCAGATCTACTGCACCGTGTCTGCAAAAACATCCTCTCTGCCTAGATAGCCCCAGTGTAGGGGAGAGAGCCTTTGTCTGTCCTCCTCCTGTCTTTCTCCTTCACGTGGTTGCCCTGGCAGGAAAAGGAGCTTGACATAGAGGGAAGAGTTCATGGTCTAATGGAGCATCTGTACTATCAAAGCTAGATATGTTAGAACACGTTTTTTCCCCCCCTGCTGTCTCTTACGGTGTCTGTATGTCATTTTGCTGACAGAACTTGTGTTTTAGTCCTTGTTATCAAAGTAGAACTGAAGAGGTAAGAATGTTTTTATCTTAAACGTCATTGCCAAAAATCATCAGCTAAACGGTGTTGAGAGACTATTTTTATTCCTGGTTTGAATGCAGAGTATAATTTGTCTTTTAGACCTCCCATTGTTCCTAAATCAAGTTTATGGCACCAGTAGCTAGGAGAGTCAGCTTCTGATTATAAACAGGTTTGGAGCCACCGAAAAAAACCCCTTGAAATCAGTTTGACAACTGTTTGAGAACCACCTTTTAAATATTCTTACTGAGTATTCTGCAGAGGTCTCTTGCAGCGATCTTGTAGATCTTGTAGATATCAGTCTTTCCTGCAAATTTCAGAAGAATATACGCAGGTAAGCTTTACAAAGCTTTTTAAAAAAAATACTTTTATGTGGAAACCTGGGATCAGCTAAAGAGTTTGCTAAAACTGGTTGTGCTGTGCTGATACTTTTATGTGGAAACCTGGGATCAGCTACAGAGTTTACTAAAACTGCTTGTGCTGTGCTGGGGGAGTCCAGTTGGTGCTCAGAGTGCCTTTGCTTTTGTTTGTGTCTTCTTGAGGTTAAATCCCTGTTTAGCCCCAGTGTAGGGGAGAGAGCCTTTGTCTGTCCTCCTCCTGTCTTTCTCCTTCACGTGGTTGCCCTGGCAGGAAAAGGAGCTTGACATAGAGGGAAGAGTTCATGGTCTAATGGAGCATCTGTACTATCAAAGCTAGATATGTTAGAACACGTTTTTTCCCCCCCTGCTGTCTCTTACGGTGTCTGTATGTCATTTTGCTGACAGAACTTGTGTTTTAGTCCTTGTTATCAAAGTAGAACTGAAGAGGTAAGAATGTTTTTATCTTAAACGTCATTGCCAAAAATCATCAGCTAAACGGTGTTGAGAGACTATTTTTATTCCTGGTTTGAATGCAGAGTATAATTTGTCTTTTAGACCTCCCATTGTTCCTAAATCAAGTTTATGGCACCAGTAGCTAGGAGAGTCAGCTTCTGATTATAAACAGGTTTGGAGCCACCGAAAAAAACCCCTTGAAATCAGTTTGACAACTGTTTGAGAACCACCTTTTAAATATTCTTACTGAGTATTCTGCAGAGGTCTCTTGCAGCGATCTTGTAGATCTTGTAGATATCAGTCTTTCCTGCAAATTTCAGAAGAATATACGCAGGTAAGCTTTACAAAGCTTTTTAAAAAAAATACTTTTATGTGGAAACCTGGGATCAGCTAAAGAGTTTGCTAAAACTGGTTGTGCTGTGCTGGGGGGAGTCCAGTTGGTGCTCAGAGTGCCTTTGCTTTTGTTTGTGTCTTCTTGAGGTTAAATCCCTGTTTCTCAGCACAGTTCCTCACTGTGACACCCAGGTGGGTGTCTCTGGACCTGTGGAGTGTCAGAGGCTGTGGCCAGGTGAGGTGTACTCAGCCCACTGTGGGTGATGGCCAGGGGGAGCTGGGTGAGTCTCGGGGTGCACAGACCCAGCTGGGGGAAGGCAAGGGCGACTAATTACTAATTGGTGCTTGTTTAAGTTTTATCCTTGCAGTCTGTATGGCAGCAGCTGGCCCCAACCGCCTGGCTTGGATAACTTGAGCAGTTACTAAAGGCAGTATAAACACAGGCACGCACTACAGAGCCCAGGGGCTTAGCATTGCAGTTATCAGAAGGTATTCCATCTGGAGGTGGAAAAAACAGCCCTTACAGGGTTTCTTTATCTCGAGGCTGGCAACGAGCGCAGAGTGAGTGACATATTTCCATTTGACTCATCTGTTGTCAAAATGGTGACACCCTTGAGTCACATTAAAAATGAGACCTTGTAGCTGAATTGGCACATCATTCTGGTAAGCACGGAGCAGGTGTTTGTCGTGGTTTTTTTTTTTGGTTTTGTCCTTATTAAGAAAATTATTTTTTTCCCCTCCCCGAGATGGGATGAAATTGATTAATGCTATGGCTAATGTTCTGGGTTAAAAATAACAAGAGAACCTGATTCAGGTGGAATGTTGGCCGTTAGCTGTAAAGATGTTTAAATAATCTGCTTTACAACTATTTAAAGCCCTAAAAATACAATAAAATTAAAAAAAAATAGTGCCCAGTAGCCAGATGGTTGAAATAGAACTCCCCACGATCAATGAGGCAATATGTAAATATTTTCGATCATTACCACAGTACTGCTGTGTTGACATTGAAATTCAAAGTGCTATTCCATGGGACTCCTCATTGATCAGCAGATGAGCTCTGATAAAGCGGAGGATAAAAGCACAATACTGAGCATTATTATGGATTGTGGGTTTCGTTTACAAGGACAGGCTTCCATCAAGGTCTACCAATGGATTTCAAACCCTCTTTAAGCATGTTACTGAGACACTCCGTTTCTTCCCTGGATGTCAAGTACAGATTAAATGGTGTATTATTTCTTGAGCTGTTTTATTTAAGGTGAAATACTGCAGAGTTGACTAATTTTTCTGTGCTAATTGCCACATTTATATGGGAAAGGGCAAGGTGGAAGCTGATGCAGAGTTCTCTGCTTGAAATATACCCAGCTAGAAATGACTGGAAAGTAATATAAATCAAATGGTTGAACTAAAATAAACTTTTGGAAAATAGGTCCTCCTAAAAGCAGGCTGTAGAGACCCTGTCTAGTTGATTCACTTAAAAATCTTCTCAGGGGTGATAGCATTCTCATGCATAAAACATGAAGTGCCTTTACCATACACAGGTGCTGAACCCACCATGAGGCTTTTTTTTTTGTTTTTCCCCTCCTCCCCTGCTTTTGTGCTGCTGGGAAAAGAATCTCGAAGGTTATACTTCTCTCAGAGGGGAGTTTGAAACTTGATTCTAAATAGATGCTTAGAAAAGCTGCTTTTTAAGATCTGAATCCGTAACTGCCCACCTCAAAACAACACCCTGCTGGCATGGAGCGTGGTGCTGCTGTTTGCAGTTCCTGGGATCCCACCGTGGAGGCAGGTCATCCTCTGCCTGGGAAGCTGAGATGTCCTGGAGGATGTGGGGAACAGGTTCCCACTGTCAAGTGTGCGATGTTAAATGTGAACTCTGCCCACTTCACATAGACTGATGTGAGGTTCATAAAAAGATCTTATAAGGGTGCATATAAAGTGTAGGTTGGGGTTTTTTTAATGTATTTTTTTGCATCCTAATCAGAGGAATGGGTTGTAGCACTTCACATCCCAGTCTCCCATTTCAAATAAGGGAATAATGAGTTTTAAGAAAGGCGGGAGAGGGCTTTGCAAATGAGAAGCTCATTATAGCTACAGCCCAGGCAGCTTTCTGGAAACATTATGCTGTTTGCTTTCTCTCCTTTCCCCTTGGGTCTGGCTGCTCACAAGTGAGGCCAAGACCCTGTGGTCCTCAGGGAACATAACCCCAGAGGCATTTCAGAGGGTCCAGATGCTACAAGCATCAGACAGGGGAAAATAGTTTAGGTGCCTTTCCAAGCTGCTCGTGTTTTCTAGTTAACTGCTGCATTTATCTTGCACGTTCATTAATTTCCTGGCACATACTGGAGCCTGTTCCTCTGATTACAGAGTTCTTCGGGATTTTGAATTTATTTCTTTCTGGCTTGCTGCTTTTTAGTTGTTCACTTACCTCCCCTCAGTGTTTTAGGGTGACTAACTGATACAAGAACAAAAACCACCTTCTCTGCGGATAAAGGGCTCTTGTGACTATCTGTGGTCTGAAACTGATGCTTGCAAACCCTGAGCATGCCATGTTTGACCACAGCTGACACTTGTTAGGGCTCAGTATTTATTAATGCAGATTGTGCAAAAGCAGTAGGCTGAGCTAAAGCAGCTGTGGTGTTTTAGGACTCGTTAGGAAGAGTTTTACCAGTTCCTTTATCCCTGAAAGATAGTGCTGTCGGTGTCTCTGTCTTTGTGGAAACAGCACGTGAATCTCGCCTTCTATTGCCGTTGCCCTTGCTTGGCAGGACTCGGATCTGGGGTGTGAGGCCACGATGTCCTGGTCTGTGGTTGTCACCAAATGTGTTTGTTCAGGCGGTGAGGTGGGAATTCTGCCCGTCCCACCAATGTGAAGTGTTTTAGTGGGTGGCAGTGATGGTACCTCCTTAGGAGCAAGGACTGAAAAGTGGAGCGCAAGGCATCAGTTAAGCAGAGAAGCCTTCAGAAGCCAGCAGAAAACATCGTATAATTAATTGCCCTCCGTGGAAAGGTAAATGCCAGTTCTGTTAGTGTCATGTAGTGTTTTCATGTAGTGCTAAAAATGAGCCGCTTGCCACCTGCTGAGTGGCACCTCTTCCTCCTCCAGATTTGCATGTGAAGCTGTCTGCTAATAGCTGTGGTCTACTTTGGTGTGCCTGCCGTGATGATGTTCTTCTAGCCTTTTGGGAACTCTGGCATTAACTCACTTTTCTCAATGTTGTTGTTGGGTTGCTTTTTCCTGGTGGTTTGCTTTGGACAAATGTGTCCCTTGTTTCATAATGCTGAAGTCTCCCGCACTTCAGTAGTATAATTTTAAAAGATAAGCAGTTTCATCTGTGTATTTGATTACCACTTATCACAAAATGTTTCTGAAATGCAAACAGAGTTAATTATTATCAGTCTAAAAGAGGCTTAAAAGTGACAATTTTTAAGCTTAAATTTTCCATTGGTGGTCTGTTCTCACACCTAAAAAATAAGTCAATGAAGAATAGCATCAGTTAGGCCTCTGCAAACTGCCGTGAGTTTTAAAAGTGATGACTTGGGAAAAGTCAAGGTGAATTGTGTACGATTATTCCAGAAAACAGGTTTTATAATTATGTCATAATGTCCTAGACTACAGTAATTATCTGTTACTATCAGTGTTTACTGTAGAGAAAATGCTGCTGTTTATTGTTTTCCCAAAGGCAATACTTTCAGTTTCTGTTGTTCACAAACGTTTTTGCTTTTAATCACTTTTGATTTCAGTACTGTTAGCAAGTGTGTAGAAAACTTTGTCTTTCCGTTTGGAGTAATTGTTTCAGACTTGCTGTCACTGAAAATAAGTTTTGTCATCCTTCCCCAATGTACAAAAAAGGAAAAAACCCCAACCCTGAAGCAAAAAAGAACAAAGCAGGTAGGAAGATGGATTTTTTTCTTAAATTGAGGAAGTTTTGTGTCTGCGCTTCCAGATTTGTGTAGCTGCCCAGTGGGGCTTTCAAGATTGCCCCCACAGTGGGTCAACTGAACACTGAAACTCGTTTCAGAAACTGTGGGTCCAGGCCCCTGCTAATTCTGAGAATTGCACTCTGCTCTGCAAAACCAGTGAAATGGAGCAGGGCTCTGAGCCGACTCCATTTTAAAAAATATATTTACTTAAGCGTAGGTTATTGTGAATGTTCCTTTTGGGGGGATGTTGCATATCCAGCATCTATAGAAAATTGTCTAGCTTGTGAAAACAGATACAGAATGGATATTGACGTGCACTTGATGAGGAGTCAATTATTGTATAACATTTAAAAAGTGGTAAGACTCAATCAGGCTAAATGGATTAAAAACTATGTAGAAATAATGAGTCCCTTTAAAAAGGAATGGTAATATGAGGATTCTTGTTTACTTGCAGATCAGTGTGGTAGAATGGCTAAAAGGGCTAATGAGATACTTGCTTTCCTGGAAAAGCATTTCAAAGTTCAAATGCAAAGCAAAATTAAAATGTTAGATTTAAATATATTTCCATCATACAGATTTGAATTGGTGATTTAGAGTGAAAATCCTTTGGGTTTTAAATCATAGCATTGTGTATAACAGTAGGGGAAGAATCACTGTAAATTGCTCTTCATGAAAAAAAATCACTTAAAGGATTGCTTAGGAGTTTAGTGGGTTAATTCTGCCTCAAAGCACACACAAATTTTTGACACAGGTTTGTGTCTGTCAAATCATCATCTTCAGTTGATTTCAAGATGTAATTTTAAGAGTAGTAATGATTTCCACTGTTAATTTTGTTGTAAGCCTGCAGAGTCCATTTTATTTGTGATCTGGTGTTGACTGTATTAATACTGGGAAAAAGAGTGACGGTCAATAAAAGAAAGCTAAGGTTCAGCTTTGTAGCACACTGCAATCGTATTTGGGTGACGCCAAGGAATGGCATCCAGTGAGTACATAAGACAACCGTATCTATGTCTGTGTGTTGCAAATACCGAATTGCAGCTCATCCTGGGGTGCTGGACCAGGCTGGCTCTTCAGATTTGGAGCTCTCAGCTCTCGAAGCTCCTGGCAAAGCTGAGCGAATGCTGCAGCAGCCTTGTGTGGCCAGTGTTTCCTCTGTGCTGTGCGCAGGAGGACGCAGATGTGTGGTGGCTGCTTTGAGACCGCGGTGGAAAGCTGTACATGAGCCAGACCTAGCACATGGGAATCCCTTGTTTTTAAAAGTCAGATCAGGCTCGTAAACCTTAGATCTACAGACTGGACTTGTAATTTCCAGCCCAGACAGATCCACATCTTATAGTTGCATTGCAGAAGGTTTTGAGATGGGTTAAGCAACTTGCTGCCCAACTATTTCAACTTTTTAAAGCCAGGCTGGGAAAGTAGAAGTGGCATTTGGGCTCCATGCGACTGGCTCAGCTGTGAATCAGCAAGTGACGTTAATAAGCATTTGTGGACTAAATATATTTTTAAGCTGTCTGGCTGCTTGCTCTTGGTGAGATCTCTGAGATTAATGGTCCTGAAATGTTACTCACATTTGTTTGCTCTTCCTTCGGGATGAATCTGACCTGGGCAGGCACTGTTATTTTTTTTAAATTGCTGTGCAAGAAGGTGCAAGACTAAAGAGCTAAAGAGCAGTTACTTGTTTCTTAATTGTTGATAAGACATAAATCTGTCTGTTAACTGAAGCAGAGTATTGCAGCTAAAGCTGTCAATGGTTTTCCCAAGCATTTCAGGTTCTTTGGTTCAGGGAACGGAGAACATTGGTGGTTTGGTTTTTCTGCAAGCCATGGGTTGTGGCTTGGATCCAGGTCCCGGTCAAGGAGATGCCTTTCTTGTCTCGGTATGGACTGAGATTTGTGTGTTCTGGTGCAAACCACAGCTCCTGCTACAGGGAATGACAACTGTGCCCTTCCTGACCTGAAGGGGAAATGAATATTTCTGCTGCTGGAGAGTTCAGCAAACTAAGGTACTTTAATCTGAGCGGGTGCTTTTCAGGAGTGTGTGGGAGCTGCTGAGGCCCGGTTGTCCTCCCCACATGCATAGCCAAGCTATCTTCTGATCTTGGTTGACTTCCTGAAGCCGTGCTGGCTGCCCGTAGGTCGCTTGTCAGGGGAAGGGCTGCAAACGCTCTGGCCATCCCTTCTCCATCCTCCCTGTTAGACCTCATGCTACTGAGAGACGTTGCTCTGTCCTGGCTGTTGCTTGGAGGACACCAGGGGCAGGCAAAGCAAGGATAAGGCAAGAAATTAAAGAAGACCTAAAGGAACATGAATATACCTGGGGAGTGATGGCTGGGAGGGGGGAGCACATGTGTGTGCCCTAAAGTGCAAGCCAGGTGCTTTAAAAGCAGCATTAAAAACAAGTTTCCAGTGGTGGGAGGTAATGATGAGACTCTGCCTGAAGGAATCTCTTAGAAAGGCAACCAGCTGCTTGGCATAACGAAGCAAACCACATAAGCTGCTCAGCAGGTAATGGTTGCAAGTTCCTTCTGGCCCTCAGCTCTCCTGACAAAAATCAGCCTTGGGGGAAAGCAGGTAGCTGATGGTTGGAAAATGAAGTGTAAATGGGCAGCCTGGGGTTGACATTTCCCGAGCTGTGTGGGAAGGGAGCTGGATCTGTCCTCCTGGGTGCTGCTGGTTCACTGCCCCTGTCTTTGCCACCCCTCGGGCCTGGCCGCGCCATCCTCTGCAGCAGCCATGGGAGGTGCCTTCTCCTCACCCCTCCAGGTGTGGAAGGACTTGTGGGGTTTATAAAGGCAGCTCCAGCTCTGTTTCCATTCTCCGACATGGGATCCTGCCCTTCTCCAAGGAGCTATCTGGAAGAATGCTGTGATGTGATGTTTTTTGTTTGTGGTGATGTCCCCTTCGTGAAAATAGTTCAACACCGTATTTAGAAGGGAAATGCCGTAGGGGGGAGTTATGGTATTGTACAGAGGGAGTGCATGAGAGTGGTCACTGCAACGCGTGCGTGTGTGTATTTTTTTCTCTTTTTTCTTTTTTTTTTTTTTTTTAAATTTCCATGAGTTAAAGATGACGATGACTCATGGCTTGGAACGTACTTTAAATCCCCGAGGTGCTCATTGCCGCCTACTATCACGTATTGAATTTCTGACATACCGGAGGGATGTCTGCAGAGAAACTCTGATGTGCAATTATAAAATGTTGTAGCTTTATGTTGTTTGCATAGGAGCCATTAGCATGGTATAACTGTGAAAATAATGCAGCTTTATTCTTGCTGTTGATTTCCCATGGGCAGGGCAGTTAAGCAACTGTGTTTTATCTTTCCCTAGGATGTTGACACATGTGGACCAACAGTGACATCCTTTTTCAGCAATGCTGTCTTTACTCCCTCCTGCATTCAGAAGCATCTAGAGAGATTTTTTGCAGAAGGTAGGTTCTGGCATTTCAGCTGGATGGCTGTTCTTCTATATTGGAGAAAAACATTTAGATGTTACTAGGGAGAATGGTAATGAGTCTGACGGATACGAGCTTGCTGCTGGTGAGAGAGGGGATTAACCTTAGCTTGGGTTCCACTTGAATAGATGCTCGGGGGAAACGCGATAAAATGGAGTCTGGAAGAATGGTTGTATGAGTTGCCTTTGAGAAGGGCTTGGCAGTCACAGGACATGGTTGGCTTAAATTGCACAGATGTGTGTATTGGTAATAAACCTCTATTTAAAGAAAACTTGCACTCCCCCCCTTTTTCTGCTTGGTCAACATCCTTGTTTATTTAAAAATCTTTAAAAAATTAAATTTAAAGGGGGAATGGCTGCACAGGATGTGCAATTAACATAAATTCTTTGTGTATATTTAAATCTTGTGTAGGTATTTTCCCCCCAAAAAATCTTAACCTTCTTGTATTTTATTTGTGTTGAAATAAACAGTGTGCAGCCTCTGGTACTACCATAAAATTGATGTTAATATCTACCTTTTTTTGTCCTCTGAACTTTCAATTTGCTTTACATTGCCAGGCGGATTGACACGCAGAACTTCCCCGGTAAAGAGTGTAGATGGGGAAGCAAGTACCCTGTGGTGTTTTTTAACAAGTAAATTTTAAGAGATTTTATGCTTTTTTTATGAATGTATGTACCTGCTGCTCTGTTATGCTGTAACCTATGGAGTGTTGCTTGTGGGTTCACTGTGTACGTGTCCAGCTCTCGACACACCTCTTGATGTGAATTCTAGAAATGTGTATCAATAGTGTTAAATCTGCTTACAGAATCAGTGGCTGGACAAGAGATTTTCAATAGATGAGGTGTCAGCCTTTAGACTGACTGTGTAGTTTTACATCTCCTTACATCTCCAGTACATTCCTCACCATTCAGATTTTTTCTCTTGTGTCAGAAAGGGTGTTTTTAACTCTTACCTCCATCAAATGTTACTCTTTGTGGTAATACTGTGGTAGAGCAACTTTGCATTTTTGCTGCTGGACGCTAAAACTCAAAAATTGCTGTTTTTTTTGGTTTAAAAGCAATGAATTGCTGGGAAGAACAGAGAAAGGAGAAATGAGTTTGGATCTGAGACTGTTGACTTACCAGACTGATACGTGTTTTCAGTTTTCCTGGACTGTAGCAGTTACACTGAAACCGCAGTGACACCAACTCTGTATTAACATGCAATATCTTTACCAGAAATCCTTGAAAACTGAGGGTGATTTGAATTCCTTAATTATCTCCTGTTGGGGAAATTGGCTCCCAGTGAATTCATCACCATTCCCCATGACAACTGCCTTCGTGAAGCCCCTCTCTTCAGGATTAGCAGGGCCGAGGACCAGTCTGGGTAGGCTGCTCCCAGTGCTGAGATTTGTCCCTCTGGGATACCTGACTTCCTCGGGAAAGAGCCCAGCAGCTTCTCTTCTCTTCTCTCCACCACAGCTCTCTGAAGGAGCTGCGGACAGGTCTCTCTGGGAAGAAAAGCTGCTGTCAGCAGCTTTAACGGAGGAGTTTATGCTTGTAGAGGCATTAATTACCGTGTGGATTTGTGCTCCTGGGCTGAGGGACAGCATCTATGCCCCAAGGGCTTTGCCTCCCTTCCTTTAGGTCACACACTCCCCCTCTGCTCCCCTGTAGGCTGTTGTAGAGGAGAGTGTGTTTCTCTGAATTAGTGGTAACAGCAAAGAAGAAATGCAATCCTTGGCAGTGTTTAGGGTTTGCTTTGCCCTGAGGCGGCGACTCTACTCATTTCACTTGCCTGAAGGACTTAACAGGGCTGACGATTCTCAGCAAGAGAGGCACCGAAGTGGTCATTAATTTCCTGGGCAGGTGAGGGAAAACTGCCTTCAGAATTGTATTCACAGCAAAATGAATCTGTGTGGCTTGCGTCACTAGAGAGCAAGCAATGTTTGTGGATTGGCAGGTAAGAAATGTAGGGAGAAAAATGGGGTTTAAACCTTGTCAGGGAGTGTGGCGTTCATGAAAAACAAAGAGCTGAATAGCAACGTCCAGGAAAATGCTGTAGGCACCGGGTAATTTTCCCTTCTGTTCTGCCAGCATTCCTGTGCAGCCTTTTGTTTTTCCAAACCTGGAGGCTTTGAATCCAAACTGCTGGACAGAGTGAAAATGATGGGAGGGGGTTCTTCTGCGAGTGTTTTGCATAGAATTATTTCAAAATCTAGGAAAGCATCCTCAATCCCTGGTGCAAGCAGAAAGGCAGAGCGGAATCTCAGGGGCGTGTGTGTGTATTGCAAGCTGTAAGTGCCTGTGGTGGTCGAAGTGTGGCTGTGGGACTTTGGCAAGAGGGCAGTGGGGGAAGCAGTGTGATGGGGGAGAGGAAGGATGCTGATGCAGAATGAGGAGGTACGTGCTGCTCTATCCTTCAGCATCCTCACTTCTAGCTGTCTAGCTAGAACTGCAGAAGCCTGGATGGGATGAGGGGTGAGTGTTTCCCTCTGCGAGAAGAGGCAGAGACTGATGTTGAGCAGGAGGCTAGTATTTAGGAGAGGGGAAAGTGAGTGGAATCACAGGGTGCCTTAGCTTGAGAAGTTGCAGGGCAGGCTGGGGACAGAGGTCTTGTGTGCTGGGAAAGTGGTGTCCACTCTAACTGCTTTGTGCACATCACTGAAGGAATATATGGTGTCCTGTCAAAAGGAAGCACAGGTTTGCTTTGCAGTTGGTTCCTTCTAATGCCCCTCTAGTATTCCCTGCCTTGCCTGCAGTGCCTGTCATTGTGCCTGTGCCACGCTGCGCTGTGATTTTTTTAGGCACATTTCTACTCCTGGCTGTGTAATGTGACAAGCTTTTCCCCTTCCAGAGCCCTGTGCCCTTTTATATGGACACAAATTGGACTGAATCTTACTTGTTCTGCGCCCTGTACTTACCTGGGGACTTTACTGTGTGACCTGTTAAATGAGGATTGTACCCCTTGTAAGGGGTGAGTTTGTGGAAACCGACTGTGAATGTGACTTCTCTGTGAATGCAGGGAAGTCCATCCTCGTGTTGGATCCTTCATAGACTATACTGCAAAACACTTTACAGTGAGTTAGATCAAGGCGATAACACTTCAGAGAGCTAGGTGATGTCTGCTTTTGTGTTGGCACGGAGAGGAACCCTGTTTGGCAGCGTAACCGAGCAGTACAATTGTGGCATTCCCCTATTTCTGCGTGTAAAGGTTGTGGGTTAGTGTGGCACTCGTTACCGTGCCAGGCAGGGAGAAGTGGGGGGCTGCTAATAGGTAAGGGAGGGGGATCTCATAAAGGCAGGAGGTAGTTACAGGTAAACTGAGTTAAACCTGACTGTCTAGGACATAAATATTTGGAAAGGTACAGAAGGATGCCCTTTCAAAAAAGACAGTTGCCTGTATAGTCTGGTACTATGAAGTTTCTAGTGGAAATATGGGTGAGTTTTTTCTTTTGGTTGTTTTCCTCCTTTTGCAATAGAAACAGTAGACACGAGGAACTGTTTGGACATACGTATTTAACTGGGAGGAAAGAGCTGTGACAGTGGTGTGGTTGTAACCACAAACTAACTGACAGTTTCCTGCTGCAAGTAACTTTCTATAGATCTAAACCTCGTTCATTTGTGTTTGTCTGTGCTGTTTAAATATCTGAGGAAGATTCCACTGCTTCTAGGCTTTTTGTTTTTGACAAAGTCTTTGTTGTACTAATTTGGGGGATGGTGGCAAGAAGAGAGATCATTACAGCAGTAATATAAATTCAGGTGAAGTCCGGAAGGCTTCTATATTTTGCAGTCTTTTATAATGTAAAAGTCAAGAAGCAACTCTATTAAATGTGTCAGACTGGTTTTGCAATTACATTTGCATGTACAAAGCTCTATTTATTTCTGAGGAGATAAGTTCACGTGATTACATCCTACCTGTGTGGCTGAGACCTCTTCATCTGATGTTTCCGTGGCATCATTACTTTTAACTCTCCTCTCTCCTCCCCATCCTTCTCTCCTGTGATGTGTTAAATATCACGGCTGCAAAAATGAGAGCACGTTTTTCCCTGCTGTTCCCATTCCAGCTGGAAAACTTGGACAGATCCTTCCCTTGTGGTTTGTGATACTGTAAATAAAGGCTTGGGAGGTCACACGTTTTCCATCTCAAGTTATTTTGATTCCAGTGCTGGAATTGGGGGAGGGAAGGAGGAGGGAAATAAATAATAATTTAAAAAAAAAAGCAAAACCCCAAACTGTTCTGGCTTATTGTGGGAAAAAGAACTTATTAATGCTAAGGGAAAACAATTGGAAAAAAGGCCTTTACAAAGAAGACTTAGTCTTTGACTAAAGCTGAGACTTGGAGAATTAGGGTCAAGGATTTCAAAGGAATCTTCTATTAAGCTTTGAAAGAAAAGTTACATACAAAATACAGGCCCTGAACTCCAAGCTCCTGTGATCCGCTGCTGTTCTTGGACGCTTCTGAGAAATTTGCTGTCTAGCTTTAAAGGCATAGTGGTGAGTAATTTTACCTATGTTCATATGAATATGGTTATTCATATGCTTAAATGTCAGTTAAGTGGGTTTTTAAATAAGGACTTGAGAAATTCTGGTTGTGGGTCTTCCTGGCTGTGATGACCTCGTGGTTCGGTTGGCCTGAGTCAAGGGCAGTATCTGGTGGTCTGGGGCACAGTGGGTGGAAAACATGTACGCACGCTTGCTCGGGATAAATGATATGGTTCTGCCTTCTGAAAATCAGCACAGAGCGAGCACGATGTGTTGTGGTGGCCGTGACTGCTGCTGCTCACGGCTGGTGTCCTACATCTGGCAGGCTTGGTCTCCTCAGCTGCGTCTCTTTCCACGTTGTGGTTTGGGGCTTTGAATATTCACAGAAAACACTACTTATGTTTAAACTTACATTTCGTATTTTTGCTTTTGGTATTTGTATAATCCTGGTTTGGATTTACTAAGAAATGAGCTCAGAACGAGGTCTGTTGGGCTTTACTACTGGGTGTTGAT